GCTTTACGCATCCTATCTGTGTTCCAGTGTTAACAGCTGAAATTCAACTAGATATGAACTACTGATTTCTTAGATGGCACCGAAAATCCTACCGTAACCGCGCTTCACCACACGAGCGACGCTGCCATGATTGCTTGCACGCTTTTCCCTTAGCGAAGGTGACACATTGAGCTGAAAATCAATAAATAAGAAATACTTCATAGTAAAAAAAGTATACAATTAAGCATATGTCAGTAGACTGTGGTAGCTAGCATTTTCATGCTGTGTGCTTAATTCTGGAGCAATCGACCCTGAAAGGTATAAGGACAGTTCCACTAGGACGTTTTCTTAGAGCAATACACGATTCAATTTATTTAGTGTTTTGCGCTGCCTATCTTTGTGACAGGCGGTCTCAGACGCGTGCGTCTGCGACGCGGCACCACAATTTTTATTGATCTCCGCGTTTGATCGGCGCCACGATTCGATTCGATTTCGCCCGAAGTAATTTTTGCACTTTTAACTGGCCTCCAGACAGAAAAGCAATCGAGTCGGTTCCTGTCGGGAGTCCATGGCCGCTGCAACGTTTCGCTGAACGTGTTGTTGTATGAAGGACATCGCCGTGACATACAACTTCTGTACAAAATAGTATTTCTACTTTCTTTTTTTGAACATAGTAAGCAGCCGCGGCAGCCGCAACGCGAACGCTCGCCCATTTGTCATGAGTTGTGAACAAAATGACTATTTCAGTTATTGCTGTAATGAATAAACGTACCTCATGCAGAAATTGCCATGTGGTCGTGCCGGATGAATAACAGGGCTCAAAAATGCGTTCGGAATTAATCTGAATAAAAAGAAATCGCTATTGGGCAGGACTTGCTTTACCTGACCTCCCTATAGGGGTTACCTGAGCTCGCAGTGCGGAGTGGATGAGCAGAGGTATCATGACGCCCAGAAGAACGACAGTCGACATGGCGATTGACGCCGAGACGAACGCCAACCGCCGAAGACTGCTGGCCACCGCTTCACGATCCGATCGCATCTGAACAGCTGAATGCACATTGGGAGCTCGAGCCCATGACATGGACATAGAAAACCCGAAATTTGAACGAAGGGAAACGTAAAGAATGAGGAAAAGAGAAGGGTTTAGAAGAACTTCCACCATATTACAAACTGGAAAAGTAACATTCATCAAAAAGTAAAAAAAAACGAGAGGAGGAAAGACGCAACAGATGAATTTTTTGACAGTAATCAGCAGCTCAAAGGGGCAGCACTCGCACAAGTCGCGGGCTCGAACCACTGTTTAGCC